ACACACACACACACACACACACACACACACACACACACACACACACACACACCTTCTGTATTATCTGAGTTTAGAAGCTGAAAATTAAGTCATCCAGTTTTTATATCGTTGTAGTTTAAGGAACTGGTTGGATTCATCAGGTTTCATGGATAAATATAACTGAGTATCATCAGCATAACAATGGAAATTTATCCCATGCTGTTTAATAACTTTACCTAAAGGAAGCATATTTAAAGTAAAGAGGACTGGTCCAAGCACTGAACCCTGAGGAACTCCAAAAAATATTCTAAAGTTAAAAGTTTGATTATATAGCACACATCACAGCAACATGATAACTTTAGAACTTCTTTCCTCCTTCAGGTCCACGTTGGAGGCAGCGTGGCGGTTCTGGGCGGTAAGTTGTACGTGTCCGGTGGTTACGACAACACGTTTGAGCTGTCAGACGTGGTGGAGGCGTACGATCCCAGCAGCCGTACCTGGACGCTGGCCGGGCGCCTCCCTCAGCCGACCTTCTGGCACGGCAGCGTCAGCATATTCCGCCAGTTCATGCCCCTGGTGTCCAGCGCCTTCGAACCTGTCGATCTGCCCGAGTCCAACGCCATCCACCTCCACCGGCATCAGCGTCACCGAGCRCTCCACAACCTCAACAACAATCTGAACCAGGAAGACGTCAACGCAGCGCTCTGAGTCAGGCTTCCTGGGTCAAGGACAGTTTACCTCATTACCTGAGAGGAGGGACAGACTTTCATTGTCCTTCTTCATGCTACATGATAATCAGCATGCTGGCACCAAATACTATTATGTTATATTTTATTGACTTTGGTTTGTCATGAAAACAGCCGGAGAAAAACTTCAACAGTTGCCTGTGGCAGCAGTGRTTCTCCAACAAAGCTCCAGCACTTTACTTTTTGTCTCGTAGTTCCACATGTTGTCAAACATCAACTGAATTCACTGAATGATCTGGCTGTGGTGTGGAGTTCTGTGATTCCAAGCCTCCAAAGACAAAACATAAAAACTAACCTGATGCACCCTAACTGTCCTCCATGTGTCAGCAGCATACATACCTACAGTTCTCCAGAGGAGCCTTCCAGCTGCTGTGTTAAATCATTACATCATTAGGAGCCCATCAGTTCAGAGTGTGTGTCTGGAATTCTTTGAAGATGCTCTGAACTGTTGAAATGTAACAAATATTATTAAATAGCAGCTGTAATCGTGCCTTAAACTGGGGTTTGCCAGAAATCAGTCGTAATCAGAGGTGGAACCACCTAAACTACATTTGCCAACTAGTCTTAACTCTTGTAAACAACATAAACAGCATGTCAACAGTTTGAAATGTTATTTAGATTTTTATTGGCTGTTTAGTTCGTTTGGTTTTTAAGTTTTGGTTGATAAAGGATATTTGAAGTTTCTGTCTTTAGGTTGAGAAAACTGTGACGTTTTAACTAACATGTCATTAATCGTGTTTCCATCAAGGCTTTTTGATGCGCATTTAGAAGTGTCACTCTAAAAATGCGATAAAAAGTCGGATGGAAACAGCAAAATTCAAAAAAAAAATCCTCAATTTGCTAAAAATTTTTACGCTCGCTTGAGGTGGTTTTTGGATGATTCGCAAAGTAGTTAATGCGCAAAGCGGGAGATGGAAACACATTTGCCAAATAAATTCTGACGTAGCGCATATTTACCTCACGTGACGTTCAGCTGTTTCCGCTTTCCTGCCTCGTCCCTCGTCCTCGCCTTCCTGCTGCGTAGTTTAACATTGCGTTTATTTCCCTACATTTCCTGGCAGCATTAAACATAGCCTGTACTAGCTGAATAGATAAAATAATAACAACTTGCCTAATAGCAAGGCATTCACGAAAAAATCGCTCCATTGTCCCAAGATGATTAGCCTCTGCTAGTTAGCAAGTTTCACTTCCTGTTTACTACCGCAACGCTTGTCGCCGACGTCTGACATAATCACGTTGCGTAGCCTCGTCTGATGTAATCACGCGTTGCGTAGCCTCGTCTGAYGTAATCACGCGTTGCGTAGCCTCGTCTGATGTAATCACGCGTTGCGTAGCCTCGTCTGATGTAATCACACGTTGCGTAGCCTCATTTATTCGCATCAAACAGTCAAGAGGGAAACTAGATGGAAACAGTCTAGATTGGAATTATTATTTATTTAATTATTTTGCGAATTTTGAAAAGTTCGATAAAAATTCACTCTACAGCTGGATGGAAACACGATTAGTGAAACAGGGCTGGAAATTAGCACCCGCTACTGGCCAAATGCTGGTAAAATTATGATGTGGCGTGTAGATTTGAACAACGCACCCACCACCGTGGCAGGTATGTAATGAACTAAAAAAAATCGTCTTTTATCGAGGCTTTCCAGAGACAAGTCCCTACTTGGGAGCGGCTACGTATGCTGTGTTTTTGGGAAATTGTAGTCGCTGAGTTTACTATTTTATACTACTTCTGTGATATTACTACTACTTCTACTTCCTGTTATCTTCTTCATCATCGTCTTTTTCACCAGTAGAAACAGACGGTTGTTGATCACGTGACTCCTGTGATGTGAAAAAAGTGTTTCCATTACAGTTTTGTGAAAAACACCAATTTCGATACGACCGAAAAACCACCTCATCCTAGTGCAAAAACCTTTTGTCAAAAAACGTAACTTTTTTCGAAATTGACGTGTTT